AAATGTAATTATCGGAAGCTGCAGTTTTTTTCATTTTAGTCGAGGAGAGCTTTAATTAAATTTTTGTGGCGATTATCAAATGTCCTGGAGTGTTCAGCGAACACATGCTACTGAGGGGTGTCAAACCTTGGTTTGAATTACTTATGCAAATGAGCTGGCTGCACATTGAGTGTGCAGCCAGCTCATTCGCATAAATTTTTTTTCATGCGTAAAGCTCCTCATGCTTCATAAAATGTAGTGGACCTTCTCTCTCAATCGCTACTGAATGTATATTCTACAGAATGCTGGACGAGTATCTGTCTTTGATTGGCCTCTAATAATGACATCGCCACAACTTATTTGTGATTTACTCCTGAAACTGAAACTAATACCAACACCACGTACCAAATAAGGTAAATGGTACCAGTGCACTGGCTGTGACTCTACTCCAATCCGTGCCTTTATGTTCCATGGGTGTGGCCCAATCATGTTGAAGCCTTGGATCAGACAGTTTTTATTGATACCATGTGGGGTGTTTGTGGTGGCGTTATGCCCTACATGCCATGTCATCTTTAGTCCCTTGTCAAGGGCGGTGTAAAGTGACTGTTCTTTGTAGTTCACTAGTATCGCTGCATTCTTGGAATAAGAACGAGCTGTAAACTCCATGGTAATGCATATCTTGGTAAAATTACTGAGCCATTACCCAGGATTCTTGACCTCTGTTCCCTTTTCAGCTGAAGCTTGGCTGGTCCAGTGGTTAGAATCATAAAGAAAATTTTTCTGAGAAATAAAACAGTTAAAAATAAAATATCTGACTGAATTTCTGCATTAAATTAAATTCACCATCACTTTACTCCCGATTCTGTTTAAATCCAACGTCGGCACTGACGCAACAATGCTGCCAAGGACTGTGATCTCATACGTAGACAAAGATTGATGATAACATACCCTGGAACCATTGATTCTCATTACTAGTGCCCAGACTCCGTTTCCACATCCGGGAATGCCATTCATTCTACAGCGAGTCTTCCACACGGCCTTTCCGGTTCTTATATGGTAGTGGCCAGTTACCTTTGAACTGTAGTGACAAGAAACGACGTCATCTTCTTCGTTAATCAACATGTCCATGCATTATTTTTAAGTGTACCATTCTTACACGCTTCGTTTTTGTTTTTTTGTTGTTTGTCTGTTGTTTTTTGTTGCTGTTGTTTTTTTTTTTTTAGTTTNTAGTGTATAGCTGAGGGTTACTTTTAATCTTTTCTATACCCTCTTGGGTAGTGTATACCTGAGGGTTACTTTTAATCTTTTCTATACCCTCTTGGGTAGTGTATACCTGAGGGTTACTTTTAATCTTTTCTATACCCTCTTGGGTAGTGTATACCTGAGGGTTACTTTTAGTCTTTTCTATACCCTCTTGGGTAGTGTAAGATTGTGTTTCGGTATATATAATGGTACTGCCGTTCCAAAATCGTCGCATTTAAAATGTCACAATAAGAGTAGAGCGTGTAGACGGAACGGAAATCGTCTTTTCAGAGCGATGTATATTTTTTGGCTTATCTAATCAATGCAGTTTATGGACCTTTAAAGTTCAAAACAAGCACTGTGCGAAGAAGGAATTTTCGGAGTTAGCCTTAAATAGGCCGTTGATCATGGAAGTGATTGTCCCTGTTATATTTTGCAGTGACATTTGGCTTGGATTATTTCTGGACATTGAACTCCTAAAACATTTTGGGCGTTATTTCTTATGAGATCACCAATCGCATTGAGACTCAGGAGACGAGGGTGAACCAAAAATTCATAAAACTTATTACTGATTACAACTTAGCATATTTCCTTTCCTTCTTTTCCTCTACCACAACTCCTTGTCCTTGTCGGGGTCATCTTGGTGCCCTTTTTTTTTCCTTCTTACCTGTATTCTTGTTGCCTTTGTTCTCACAGCCATACTTTCTCTTTTTTTTTGCTGGAATGAACACCTATATGCACAAAATAAATGACAGACATTCTCTTTTCGATCTTGGCGATCTGATGAGGCTCGTTAACTCTAACATTGAACGAAATTATGAAAATTACATACCTTGCTATTATTTTTGGGCGGAATTACTCAAATATTCTAAGATAACGAATCTTATTGAAATTTACAAAATCATTAACAGAGGCTAAATTGGAAAAACAATAGAATATGCTAGATTTTTCAAAAATTCGCGTGGTAACAAGTTTTCAAATTTCTAAAATTCGTCAGTGATTTCACTGAAGTCGCGAAATTTCTTTAATTAATGGTTACTTTATTCCAAAACTTATTTTACATTTGGGATAAATTGTCTGATTTCAAAGGAATAATATTTCTTGCCTACGACAACTCTGCAACATTCTTATAGGACAGGACCCTGTATACCACTCTTAAAACATGAAAGTTATATAACATGCTTTAAAACCCTGTGAAAAGAAGAATTTAAAAAACGCTGTAAAGGACGCATGCTATGAATTAGAGATGAAGTACGTAGGTGCAGCTTTGAAAGCAACTTCCTGTTGAGAAAAACAGCTAGTTAAAAGGCCTCGTAAGATCGATCTGGGTGTTTTTTATTATCGTTCGCAAAGTTTGCTGTAGAATGAATTTTCAACCTCAATATAAAGATAACATTTGAACAGTTTTCAAATTACATTTATATTTTAATATAGCCTGAAAGTTTACGAAGAATACAACGGACTGCTTCTTACTTTACTGAAGTATTGATAACAATCAAAAGCTTTTTGTTTTTGTTTTACTTTGTGTGAACTGAAGGTGTTCTGTCACCTCACTGTTTTAATACTGTTGACACTTAGATATAAATTTAAAATTATTTTTAAATAATAGAGTTACTATTTACTTTAATTTGAGGAGACATTTCTCTTTGAAATTAATTTACTTTGTTCTGTTATCATTGTTGTCATCGTTTAAACCAAATATAATCGTCAAAGACAACTACACCTCAACAAACTAGAAGTGTATACTGTCAATATGAATTTACAGAGATCTTTCTTAAGTAATTTTGTATTTTGTGATATTCGTTATGAATCGCTGCCTCGATTGATTTGTTATTTTATTGCTAAATTGGAGCATTTTCAGCATCGAAGTTCAATTTGTTACAAAATGTATTTGTTTCTTTGTTAGTCTTCACCTGTCTTTATTTATGTGAAGTTGTTCATAAATGTTCTCACAGCTCAATTTATCCAAGGAGGTGTTAAGGTGAAACATAATCTTTGTTATTTAAATTTGCTGTGAGGAATACAAATTAGTTGCAGTATCTGTAACAATCTTAAATCAACTGAAGCTTTGGACAGCAAATCGAGATTGTCTTTTCGGGTCATTTTCTTTTGTTCCAGGCCAAAAAAAAAATGACTTGAAATATTTCATTCATTTGCGAGGTAGTTAGGGCTGCCAGCTGGCATTATTCTTTATTTCAGTATGGGTCTGCTCTTCAAGTAGAAGAGTTTCGTAGCGTGGAAGTCTTTGAAAAAAAAATTCCTAAAATTCCAGATTTTCTTAATTGCTTTAAATGTCAAATCTAGGGTGAAAGTCACATCTCACCTTTGTTATAGTTAGAGCTCTTGTTTTCTTCACTTCAATGTTTTCACCTAGGTGGGGAACTTGGGAAGATGGATCGTTTTGATACCAAGAACATTTCTTGGAGGCTTTGTGAAATATCGCTTCGTCGCATTTTTCCACGCGGCTGCATCGTAAGGCACAAGCTAGCTCACTATCAGCGTGGAGCTCAACAATGTTATGAGAATATTTACGTAGTTTTTCTCCATTCGAAAAGGTGAAATATGAAGAGAACTGCTCCTTTAGATGGCAACAGCAGGCGAAACTGAACAGAATGATGGCAAAACGAGAGATCATGACCATTACTTTCTTTTTTCTTCAACATGTGCAAATGCTTAATTGAACGAGAAGCTTGCCTCACAATCACGCATACGTTTGATTGGCTACGAGAACGTTGTGGCTTATCTCAATACTTATCGTATGACTTGCAAGTGTCGCAAATTGCTCGTGCGTCTCTTGTTTTTTAGTTCACGAAGAGGAATTGATAGAAGAAAGTCTTTGATATCACAGATTGGGATGTTATTGATAAGTCGAGTTTCAAAATTTTCCCTATTTCTCTGATTTAGATAGCACTGAGAACCAACTCGAACAATCGACTAATTCTTCCCAACGTCAAAGCTTTGTTCACCTATCCACAGGGAGCCCAGGCGACGAGTCTGGTTGTTTATTCGAAATATAAAGGAATGTATGGGAGAATATTGAAGAGTCTTATTATCTACTGTTACTTATAACGTATAGTAACAGTGGACGCAAAACCCACCAAATCGCTCAAATTCGCCATTTAGAGCCACAGAAACGACAATACACAGCAAGTGAGGTAGGTTTACATTTATTTTGAGCTTTAACTCAGACATTTCATGATATAAGTTTACGATAACGATAAAATGATAAGACTCTTCCATATTCTCCCATACATTCCTTTATATTTCGAATAAATAACCAGACTCGTCGCTTGTCTGGGCTCCCTGTGACCTATCCCGTCATTTGATCTCAAGAAAGAAATGCCTCTTTGGTTTATTTTCATGTCTGTGGTTTCTGACAAATCCTTAATTTGGTTTATCATTGTTCTAAAGTAATCAAAGCGGCTATATAAACCTAGATCTACTTGCATGGTTTTCACTTGTGTCTCGCTGTCTTTAAACATGGATGACGTGATAAACCCGTTAGACGCGATAGCAATTAAAAGAGCCAGCATGAAGCTCATGCAGGCGTTTATGACATCTTTAAATTGGTTAGGATAGTTGGGAGAGGAAATGGAGCTGACTTCATTCCGACTTCCGCCGTTAGTAAATCAATTATCAATTTAGCGTAATACGGTTCGCTTGGGTTTTAACTTTCTCCGCTTTTGAATAGATCTTGAAGCTCATGCCACCATTTAAACTAATCAGATAAGGACTGGTAGCATTCATTTTACTTTGAGTTCTCATCGGCTCCTTGTAATATTTAACCTTCGCTACAATTAGTTTTGATTTTTCAACGATTTTGCTTTTACAACATCAAAGAGCTATTTACCTCACATCACTACTGAACGTAGATACTACAGAAAGCAGGATACGTATTTGTACCGAATGGCTCGCTAATAATATCCCCACAACTAATCTCCTTATTTAGCTGATTAGGGTGCTGATATCCAAAACCAAAACCTCGCACCAAATATGGCAGGGGACAGATGCTTGTCTGGGACTGTATTCCAACACGTGTTTTAACTCCTGTTATTGGAAGGAGAGAAAATAGGCTGAATCCCTGTTCCAAACAGTTGGTATTTATGCTGGGTGAGAACCAGAAAGGCTGCGTTATGTTGGACAGTTCTCCCCTCCATCTCTTTTTCTTTCCCGCGTTTAAAGCTGCATGAAGTGAGCTGGCGTTGTGGTTTAAGAGTGTGGCGACCTTAACGTTGGATGAAAATTTCATGATGACGCAGATTTTGTTGAACGAACTAAGCCAGTAACCAGGGAGTTTGGCTTCTACCACTCTGTCTACTGTTTGGTAAGAGGATTTACTGGCCCACCGGGGGGAATCATGCGCAAAGGTGTTCTAGAAGGTGAGAAGTTTTCTATTAGAAGTCTTATTCAAATAGACTTACTGTTTTTCTCTTTAGAAAGAGGTCCTTGTACAAGCCTGTGTAGGGTTCTTTCTGTCAGTTTTGTTCTCAACAATTAAATGGCTGACAGGGGCTATATTTATAAGAACCTAACTGATCACCTTTTGTGAATAAGTCGGTCAATTAGAGCAGTTTCCAATTTGGTGTCGAAAAAATGTCATGATTGCTCTGGTTTTTCTTAGCTTCGCTCTGTGATTGGTCCAGAAAATTCGTGCCACCTCAACCAATCAGATTCAAAACTGAGGCTAACGATTGGTTCTTGTGATTACTTTGGTTTTGGTTTTGGTTTGGGTTTTGGTTTTTTTTCGTTTTTTCAAAACTCAACTTAAAATAACTGATCCAGTCGGTTAGTCTGTCAATGTTTAGCCAACCATTAAATTAATGATAAACCTTTGATCCATTGATTCGCATAACAAGTGTCCAGGCTCCATCGCCACATCCGGGAAGTCTCCTCATGCTGCAATATGTTCTCCACGTATTTTCATTCGTTGTTATGTTGTAAAAACCACTTGGGCTTGAGCTTTGGTGAAAATAATTGAATTTTAAAGAAGGCTCTCACCAATAGAAGTGTGGTTTATTGCTTAGTTTAGTAATGAATTTTACCACCGACGACAACGCAATTATAAGCGACTCTTACATAGTCTTTTGCATACGATGTTCTTTTCTTTTGATTCCACAAATCTGTATTTGATGGTGATGCTTTTGTTATTCGACAATTTTTTGTCATTTCTTTTTAGATATTTTTTGTATGATTTTTTGACAAATTAGACAACTTTTACGCCCTGTAGAACCATTCAAAATTAAAAAGATGATACTAGACGGATTCGTGCAATAATATTTACAAAACATATCTCATTTCATGAAAAGGTGTTCGATTTTTTGAAAAATAATTCAATGCACTTTCGACTAATTTTCGTTGTTTCTCCCTTTTATTTCAAAAACCAAACATGTTCAAACTTTTGTTCTAGTAAATGAAGAGCGACGCTGAACATTCATCATTAGGAAAATGATCCTCAAAGCCGAAAGTAGGACAGGTTGATAATAAGTGCCCAAAAATTTTTAAGACGGAGCAACTTAGATGAGCGTAAAAATGGCAAACTAGTATTTTTATATTCATAGACGATCTGGGAAACCTTTATAGTTAACATCGCTCATGATAGTGAGGCAAGAAAGCTAACTTTGGACTCAGATAAAACAAAACTAGTCATAAAATACGTTTACCACGGTTTTCAGAATTCAAAACTACGAATACACCCACCTATTTTGTCGTAGGATATCAGCACATGAAGCCCCCATTGTTTGATCGTCTGTTGTTGATGAAAAGGCGAAACCACGTGAGCCAGAATTTGAATGAAAATCGTTATCATCATCGTTATTAATACCAGAAGCACAGCTTCCCTTTAGATTTTCGCTCACGGAAAGAATTGAAACCTGTTGGGAGATGAAAAAGAATTTTTTTATTTCATGTGTTTTAAGTGGTTTGGCATGTATTTTGACATGTTTTTGTGTCATTTTGTTCATGTATGCTTTTTAACGTCCGGAAAAGTTGCCAGAACTTGTCTGGTGAAGTGTCTTCGCGCAAAAACTGCCATGCTAGCTTTTAGGGAAGGAAGGAAGTGTAACATGGAAGGCTTACAACAAGAAAAGTTTACAGGAATTAGAAAAAAATTTTAAACTACCGGGAACTCATTGTCCAACAACAGCAGCAGACTAGCTGAGTCCAGTTTAAAAAAAGATCGAAAGATAAATCTTAGAAATATCTACTCAGGCTGATGTTTGTTTTGAAATAAGATTTGGCAAATGAATTTGAAATTTATGACCTGTTCTCACGATCAAAGAGACGTCTTCATTGAAACTTACAAGCTGCTTGCTTAAAGAATTGAAGTTCTTGAGTGGAGTTAAAATGGAAATCTTTCACTTATATAAGAATCCAACCAGTATGCGTGTGATATGATTTTTTTGCCATTGCAATCATTTGATAACTTTATGAATGCCAAATTTTCGAGGCCAGTAGAAGATCGATTTCAAAATGACTGATACACTCTCGCGGTAAGTTACAACAAATCTCTTGCTCAATGAATCAGACTTTTATACTATTTGGACACAGTCAGTTGACAAATTTGACGAATACATGAAAGATTTCAATTTTTAGTATATATTGTTTAGGTTTTGCCTGCCCTTGAGTAGTTTTCGTCATACGATAGCGGGTCTGAGTGTTTTGAAGTGACAGCTTCGTTGGGCTGTGCAAACACAAGAAGGCAAATGGTTCTTTATTCAAACATCTTCATGGTCATTTCAACGAGTATGGTTGATTAAAGAAAATTAGCATGAATTTTCTTTGTTTTCTTTGTGAAATACGTTCACAACGCAGCAGAAAAGGAAAAAAAAAGAGATTGTAGTTTTTATAGTGAGCGTGCAAAGCTTTAACTACGAAATGAACTTCTGTTCTGAAACTATTTAATTATTAATAAATGACGGCTTGCTGAGGTTAAGATGAAGCAGCTTGCCTTATACACATGTCAGTGCTAAAAAGATGTTTAAAATACTAAAGAAATGAGAAGTTGACCCTAAATCATCGCTGTTAAAGGTGCATTTGCCTGTCAGAGCCAATCTTTGAGGGAAAGAAAGATGACACCTATTCTTTCACGAGCACGTCCCCTTTAAGGAAATAAACTCCCAGACCGTGAAATTAAGCACTTTGATGCTCTCTCACTATGCTGTAGAGATCTAAATGATAAACTGGGCCATAACTATGTTGATTTCAGGCAACCATCCTATACACTGTTGGGATTAGTAATATCGAAAAAATCGCGCAAATGAACCGAGTGAGAAATATTTTAGAGTTTGAGCTCGGTCGTGAAATGAAGACAGATGTGACTTGTCTTGTTACAAATATGAGGCAAAGAAGAAATCTGAATCTTCCACGAGGAAAACGCTTCTCTTTTTTATTGATTTGCTAACCACATTCAGATTACAAACATCGAAACTAGATGTCAGTTAGATTCAGTCGAAAATATACTTTACAAAGGGACATTCACCAGCATTTAGGATTTATAATAATCTGTTAAGAACTTCCTCGAGTATTTTCACAACTTACAAAGCTTATTGCCGCATGAAAAAGGTATCTGTCAGCTATAATTTCTCACCTTTCTCAGGGTCACAATTCTTAGATTTGCATCTACGTCGCTGGCATGGATATCAGTGCAGTCTTTTCCCTTGTTTTGATAAAGAGAACATCGCTTAGAGTCTCTGTTGAAGGTCACAATATCGCAGTGGCTTTTCGTGTTACACCTTAATGCACACGCTATCACAGTCGCTGAGGTGAATTCATCAGTTTTTCTTGCATCTTTAATCGACTGTTTTTGCAGCCAGTGTGAAAATGTAAAGTACGAAGAACAGAGGTCTCGTAGATGGACGCACGAAACAAAGATGAAGAAAATGATGCCAATTCGAATTAAGGCGATCATGCTTTTGTGGCGAGATGAAATGTTTATTTACTTGGATAGGACTTACATTTCCTAGTTACATAGCCGCGGAGAATTGGAAACGATACCTGCTCTGGTTGTTTTTTTTTTTCTCTCTCTCTCTCTCTCTCCCTCTCTCTTTTGGGTCACGTGATATTTAGCGCCCGGATTAAGTCTTTTGGTGCCGCTTGTCAACAAAGTGCAAACTCCTATGATCAAAGACAAATTTTAAAATGTATTTCGTGTTACCGTAATGGACAATGATGGACATCTAAACTGCAACATAGGACAGAATCGTTTGCAGCCGCCTGACGGTAGCTAAATCCTTTCGCTGACCCCTAAAGGAGACTGGGATCTAATTTCTCATTACAATAAGACCGCTGACTCAAACATTAAGGTCATGAGAACATGAAAGTTATTCAGTAGAACAGTCTGTCAGTTACAGGGGCGCCATTCTCTGGAATGCAATTACATCCAGGCATCCGGACAAAACTCACGCTGAACGTTGGTCTTTAGACTCCAGACTGAGTAAAGTACAAGTACTAAGAGATTTCCATTTCAAAGCAACATCTGCCTCAACTGTCAACTTCAGTAATAACGATTTTATATACTTTGAGGATTTTTAGCACTTAGTCTTAACTGTAAATTATTGTAAACTTATCATTTTATTATGTGTGATTGTACTTTAGACTTAAATGCACGATCCCATAAGCACTAGCTTTAACTAACATCTTGCTGAAATTAAGTGGATGTATGGGAAAAAGGAAAATGATCGCAAATTAAAGATTCTCTTGACTAACGAACAAACTCTCCTTGTTGGTACCATAGAAAATGAACAAGGAGCTGTGTGGAGTATTTACACATTGATATAAGGGTATAGAATGTAGACCATAATTGGCATGTTCTTTTTTTTAATTCCACAGTCAACATATGATTGACGAGTTCAATAAGATTTATCTAATTTCCACTTACTCCAGTTCCTTTAGCTGTGGTTTTCCTACTTTATGCTCATTTTAACTGATTAGCGCTCCGTTTGCTAAGCTTTGATTTTCTTTGTTTCTTATATTAAAAGTTGCCAATAGTGGCTGAACACAACAGAGCAGTTCAAGAATCCATAAACCTACTGTTTGATGATTCAGGAAAGGTGAACATAGAAAAACATAGAAAAAAGCACCAAAGAAAACAGAAAATAGCGAGCGACAGAGAGAGACAGAGAGAGGAAAGCAAACCAGGGGAGTGACGCGGGAGAAGCAAAACGATCGAATTGAATTGAAAAGAGACGAAAAGGAGAGACAAGATAAAAACGAACAGGTCGAGGCAGGTGCCATAGAAAAGATAAACGAGGGAAACACTTCCTTAAACCGTAATCTCAATTATTTTTCTTTTGGCACATGTTTTCTTTTTTTCCAAGTTTTCTCTCCTTAGAAACAAACTTTTTTCTGAAAGAGACGCTATACATAAAGTAGAAGAGTAGGCACGTCCGGTAAGTCAAGACTGGATGGTGGAGTAAAAGGTAGAGCGAAATAAGACAAATTTCTTGGAAAATGTCGGCTCGAATTTTTAACCTAGTTTGTTATGTAGCTGTAGTTGTCATCGCAGTCCCCTCTATTAACTATGCGGCGAAAAAGAAAACTAAAAAACGCCTGGGTGGGGATTGGTTCGAGTTGGCTCGGATTGCATCATGGGTTGAGGTGCAGCGCGCCATCTTGGAGCACGATGTTTTGCAGCACCTGTGGGCAGTGTTTACGGAATGAAGACAACTTTTGCTCTCAATGCCGCAAAGGTATGGGATTTGAACTTAATAATTGTAAAGACAGACTTTTACACGATGGTCTTTAAAGACGGATGTTTGCTTATGCACTGTCCATTCCTATGTAAATGAGGCCGGGCATTCTAAACTTAAGCCAACACCAGATTTTCAGAAACAAGTGGTTAAGTAAGTTCTAATCCCATACCTTTGCCCCATTGAGAGCAAAACTTGTCTTCATTCCGTAAACACTGCTCGCAGGTGCTGCAAAACATCGTGCTCCAAGATGGCGTGCTGCACCTGAACCCATGATGCAATCCGAGCCAACTCGAACTAATCCTCACCCAGGCGTTTTTTAATTTTCTTTTTCACCGTGAGTAATTTCTTTTCGCCGTGAGCAATTTCTTTTTGCCGTGAGTAATTTCTTTTTGCCATGAGTAATTTCTTTTTGCCGCGAGTATTTTTCTTTTTGCCGTGAACAATTTCTTTTTGCCGTGAACAATTTCTTTTTGCCGTGAGCAATTTCTTTTACCCTGGTCCCAGAGGTTCTCTTCTCTCTAAAAAAAATAGGATAAATCTCTTCTCCCTGAAAAATTCGGCGCCAAGCGTCGACAACGAGCTGCAAAGCAGCGAGCAGTCGAGAGAACCTCTGGTGGAGACCGTTGAGAACCTCACTTCGGTGCATTCAGCTGTTTTGACAGCTGATCAAATCTATCACTTTTCAACAGGCAATAGGAAACGTCAGTATCAAACAAAAAAAACTTAGAGTCTGGGGGGTTTCGTGAATGTGTCGTTAGATATGAAACTACTCTGGAGGGATGGGAGCGCCAACGCTTTGAAATTACTATCTGTCAAAATACTGCTACACGTGCGACAGTTCTCCACCGTGTATCCACAAAGAAATAAACTTTGACCTTTACATTTCCACTGTCAAGCGCTTCAGCAATCGACCAAACGATTTTTGCAGAGTCTCTAGAGAAATTATTAAGATCACTGGCCGTTGACAGTATAACATTTTCTCCGACAAGAATAAAGAATTTCTCGACATCTTTCGGAGTGTGGTTGCTTCAGACGTTCAAGACACGAAGGATTTATCTCAGGTTTTATGTCAGAAATGCTATAGAACTGTTTTGAAATATTACAAACTCCTAGAACAACTCCAAGAACTTGAAAGACTTCGACTAGACTATAAGGAATCTGTATGGGAAAGCATTGACATACAGCGCGAGAAGAGGTGCGCCAAAGACTCCCCGGTTGATAATCGTGACAAAAAGAATGCAAGGAAAAAAGTGTGTATCTTTCCCGCAGCTCCAAAGAACAAAAAAAAAAACTTTGTGTGCAAAATAACAATGATATAGAAGATCCTTTTTCAGCTTTGGATGTTGATTATTTCTGCGATTCGAGGGATCGAAAACGTAGTCGTGCACGAACAGAGGTGAGAACATTCGAAGTAAACTCAATGATTTCTGTTATATTGTCGACACTCTTGTAACTNGGAAGTAACAATTTTCACTTTTCCCACACCCAAAAACTGAGGACATGCATCAAAACACGATTAAACACGGATATGATAAAATGTGGGCATGATTAAATAAAGAAGTACAATTTTTGTTGTAGCTTCATTTTTCAAGTTCGGACTTTAGCCAGCGTTTTTCTTTCCACCTTTTTGACAAGTTTACCCTTTATCCAGGGAAATTAACTGCTATTTTTTTTTTCATTTCCTTTCATTATTATTTATCTATTTAGTTAGTTTTGATGATATATCAGTTCTTTTCCCATTTTATACCCAGTCTATAAAAAAAGTCTGGAATGTCATAGTGAACCGTGGGTTTACTTCACTACATTAGAGAAGGTTTCCTTCCACTTTTTGGCGAGTTTACTTTTTCCAACTTTCGGTCCCAGTCAGGATGGAGATCCTGTTCGGGGGAAATTGCCGTTTTGATCTTGGACTTCTCTTTTAATCTTTTCTTTCTTTTCCCAAAAATTCTTTCCCTTCAAACATTTTCGCGACAAACATTCTTTGACTCCAAAGGATCTCACAAAGAACTTTAGCACCTTAATAAAGTGCACGAACAAATTTGACTGTCTCGTCTATGGGATGTTTTTTATTCACAAGCTAAGACCTGCTCTCAATGTACAGTCTGATTCAATTCGTGCAAAGGTTTTTAATTAGCTTTTTACTAGCACTTTCTTTGTAGTTTTATTGTTTGTTTACACCTGCAAAAAATTTTTCATATTTCTTACGTGTATATATACATATATTTACTGTATTTCATTCCATTCACTTGACAATGACCGAAGCACGATCGAAACGTCGTGTTTTACCGTTCATTTTTATCGTCAAAAGTTTTAAGAAACCCTTGCCTATAAAACACTCATTTTTCCAGAATATTTGTGCACTTGTTCCTTGCAGTACGTACACCACTTGTTGCATATAAACTTAAAATTTGCATATAAACTTAAAAGTTCCCTGCAGCGCAGTGGGTTGTACATCCTACCGCCACAGCGGTCCCAGGCAGGCACTGATCCCGTTCTCGGGGAACTTGCCGCTATTTTGTTTAATTTTCTTTTCAATTTTTATTAAGGATGATTCGTTCCGTTTCCCATTTTGAACCCAGCTTTTGCATAGTATGGAATGTCTTTGTATACTATTCTTTCTGTTTTTTACTTAAGCCAGGGTTTTTTTTTATGGAATTTATGGGTAAGTTAACACTTTTCCGCGCTCTGAAATTGAGGCCATACATCTGAACATTACTGTATGTAATCATATTAAAACTAGCTAATAGCAGAGTTTTTCTTTAAATGTCATTTTACTCACAACACCTTTTTTATCAGAATTTGTGCGGTTGATAGTCATTGATTCTTGCAGTATGTACACCACTTGCTACATATAAACTTAAAATTTGCTCTTCACTCAAGGCAAGTTCCCCATGCAGGCGCTGATCCTGTTCACGGAACTTGCCGCTATTTTGTTTGATTTCTTTTTTAATTCTTTTTCTGGATGCCTTGTTGCGCTTCCCATCTTAAACCCACCTTTTACATACAATGGAATTTCCATGTGTACTGGTCTCTTTATTTTGATGCATCGGTTAACTATTTTTATTACCTAGTGACAAGTTTACTCTTTGCCCGCATTCTTCAATTTTAGATTAACATCAGTTTGATTTAATTAACATTGTCTGATTCCTTTTTTTTTTAACCTTTTTTCTGATGATTTGTTCCTTTCCCGTTTGATAGTCAGCTTCTAAATACTCTGGAATG